TCCTTTCATCAAGGGTCAGCTTCCCAGCTCCCTCATCTGCCATGTGCCCTTGCTCTGAATGGATGGGAGACACACACCCTGAAAGATTTTCAGGAACCAGCTCTGCTGGGAGGCCTCTGAGATTATGATAGGAGGACAGGGCCACTAGATTCACATTCATGCTGGTGGTGGGGGACCTTCTGAAGGTCTCTAGTTCAACCTCTCACAGAATGACTATCACCAACTGCAAGACACTATCCCAAGGTGATGCTTGTTGGGGCAGAACCACTGGGTGGGGAGAGCTCTGCACCCTAATCCACAAGCCCTTGTGACACCTGAGCTGTTAGAGAACATGGATGGGAGACCCAGCCAACCTCAGATCTGCCTTGGATATCTTCCACTACAATGTTTACCCTCCTGCTCCAAGATCCGCAAGCTCATCCTCAGCACGAGGGATCCAAGTCCAGGTGGAGGGACTCTTGGCCTGTAGGAGGTCCTTGGAGCACTCTGAAACAGCAAAGGAATCTTGCAAGATCCAAACTGGTTGGAAGGTGGTTCCACAACCCCTACAAAAGTCTGCACTGGTTTGAGATGGATCAAACTATTTGTTGCAGATAAGCCAAGGCAGCCCCTTCTCTACTTGCAGATGACCTTGATTCCATGGATGATTTTATTTCAATATTAAGCAAGCAGTTCACTGTAATTTATCTTACGCTATTTCTGCCCCCACATGTGAAGGTCTTTCCACAGCTTTTTAAGAGAGACGTGAGATTTCTTATTACACTATGACGTGCTGTTGGCACTTTTACATAGATGGAAGGGCCAGATACTCAAATGATCTTCCACCCACAGCCAGGATATGGGGTGCAGACCTGCAGCATAGCCCGAGGTGGGATGGCATTGCGCTATGCACTCATTCCAGGGCTTGGCAAGGAGACACTAGACACAGGAGTTCTGTGGAAAAATATGTATCACTTTAATTAGGCCACTAGCAATAGGGATTACGGAGAAGTCTTGGGACAGAAGTGCTAATTATCATGCAGTACATATTTAACAAGCCCCAGCGAAGCCTGGAAAAGCTCAGCTCACTGATAGTTGTGTCAAACTGGCAGGAATGGCTGTTATCTGCTGGGGGGAATGGGGTTCCCCAAGCTGGCATGGTAAAATCCCTGATGAGATCTGTCACAAAGGCTAATGCTTTTCCCAAAACTCATGTCAGGGCAGCAGACCTGAGGTCTGTGAGACAGGAAAGAAGGGCCAAACCTGCAGCCCCTCATCCAGGATGGACAACCCCAGTGAGGGGCACGGCACTTGGGAGGGGAACAGGGACTGGCCCCGGGTGCTACCCCCACATCAGGGTGTCCCCTGGTCTCACGGGGTCTCTGCGTGGGATGGAGATACTCAGGAGGGCAATGGGGCAGTTGGTTTTCTGTCCCCTGGGTCTCTAAGAGCACGTGGAAACCTGCAACAGCACTGGCAGGAGGTAAAAGCTTGTTTGGGACTGGGAATAAAGATGATCAAGCAGCCTCAAGATGCTCTTCCTGACACCTGCCTCTGAAGGTCCAGACCATAGGAGACTTGTTCCTCTCTTACATGATGGCTTCTGGAAGGAGCAGAGGGCTGAACACTCAATTTCTGGCTGAGAATTTCCGCAAAGTGTGACTGAAACCCCTCCTATTTCAATTCCCACTAGGTTGATGGGTGGCTCTTAGGGAGCTCTGTATCTCCTGCCAGCCCTTTCAGTTGACCCTGACCTGTCTCCATCATGAGATACAAAACCCAGCTTGCTGGGATGTGTAGTGGACAGCAACACCTTCCTCTTCTCTCAAGATCTTGAAGCAACTTCCAAGCAGAGCTGGAAAAATAGATCCTTCTTGCAAATATATCTGGATCCAAACTGTGGCCACAGGACTGTGAACCCCTGTGCTCAGCTAGGTAGAGGGGGCCTGGCCTCCATCCTTCCTTCTGTACCTCCCTTCTAACTGCTCCATCATTCAGCTGTGGCAAAGAATCCTGGGCAAGGAGGTGCATCCAAGCATTGAGATGGCACACTGGACAGGCTCCATGGCAAGAGTCCCACCCTGGCCCCAGCTGCAGCATCCTCCATGCTGGGGGACCAGGACAGAGGAACAAAGGCAACAGCAAATGGGACAACCTAGACACGAACACCACTGTCCCGGTAGCACCGATGGGTCAGGCAGAAATCCTCTGAGCAAAGGGTGGCCTCTTGGGGCTCCTGCTCCATCCCCAAGCGTGCCTCCATGCCCAGACATGTCCCACACCTTCCCTGCCTCGCTTCCCGGAACCCCGAGAGATGGCGGCTGATCCAACCCCACGTGACTGCTTGTGCAAGAGGTGATGGGTGCTGCTCCCCTCAACCCCCACCTCACTCAGCTGGCCTGGATCAGGTGACTCATCCCTAATCACGCTGTTTGCAAGCAAGTCAAGCAGAAACTGCCCAATAAAAGAGGTCAGGGTGCTGACAGTGGGAGCAGTGCCCTGAGCTCCTGGCCAGCAAGAATAAGTCTGCAGACCTGTTCCCTGGAAGCTTTCTGATGACCCTCACAGCCTTAGTACCTGCAGAAATATCCAGAAAATTAAAGAGAGGGGACAAAAAGCCAAATCACAGTTATCATCAATGGCCTCAGGCTTTCTGTTGGACCTCTTTGTGGATGTGGCATGCTGGGTAGGGTGTTAATCCAGCAGTTTCCTCATGCTTGGCAGCCTGCAAGCCCATCAGCACCCTAGGGAGGTGGAGTATCTCTCTACCACCATCACATCCCAGTTCCATCACTGGTGGAGAAAGAGGAGGGAATCAGAGCAGTCCTGTGAGCTCCCCTAATGCCCTTGCATGCAAACCCTGTGTTGCTGGGCACCTCCTTTACAGAAGGAGGGAATCTTCCTCTCCCCGATTTCATTTTTGGCAACAGGACATGTCCCCAGATGACAATTTTGTGATGCTCATCCGAGCAGCACAAAACACACAGTGCCTCAATCTCTTCCCCAGGCAAACTCCAGACATTGCTCTGGCCAAGCCAGTTCAGAACCCATCCCTCCACCGCCTCTCCCAGCTCCAGGGAGAGCAACCAGTGATAATCTAACCCCTGGCCAGACCACTTCTCATCCTGCATGGTTGCATCTTCCCCACATTAATTAATTAATCTCAGCCTGCCACTTACCAAGCACACTCCTCAGTTATTTTAACCCGTGGGGACGGATTCCATGTTCAGACTGGATAGCACCAGTCTGGGATTTGGGGGAAAATTCTTTGCCTAGAAAAGACTTCATTTCTTGCTAGGCATGAATTAGAACTTTTTTCCCACCCCACTCTGCCAGGGGGGTGGGAAGGCACAGCTTTTCAGGAAGTCCAAACAGGGTTTTCGCTGGGATGCAGAAAGAAATACCCAGGAGATAGCACTTCTGGCTTCAAAAGGAAGCCCCAAAACGTGGGCCAGAGGAGTGTTTCTGTCATGCTGGGGCTTCTCAGCATCAATGCAACCCATCTCAGCCGAGAAAAAATGCCAAAGAAAGAAAGCAAACCCCAAAAACTTGAATTTCCATGGTCTCTGCACAGTGACCAGGTTGGTAACCTGAGCATCTTGTGCACAAGAGTGCTGTGAGACCATCTAGATCTGTGACTCTCTGCTGGTCCCCCTTGCCAGCCACTGTGACCCACCTTGCCCAGTGACTAACAGGTTGGCCAGGACCTTCCCAGGGAACCTCCCCTGGGGAGTGGATTCAGGAGCAGGATCAATGAGGAGATGGTGCTGCCACAACTCATGTTAGATGACCTCAGCTGGGCTGCTTCACTGGGTCATGTAGGTGACGGCTTTGAAGCTCTCTGCTGCTTTCCCCAGCAGGCTCCTGAGGAACCTGATAGCCCTGGGGTCTTGGTGCCATAAGGAACAGCTGGACTTTTTACCGCTCTGCAGGAAAAGTCAAGGAGAAGAAGGTAAAGACCCACTGGGATCACGGCGCCGTGCCAGCCCATAGCTCGTTTGCCTGCCCTGGAGCTTAGCAGGAGTGCCAAAGAGGACCCATCTACTGTGTCTGCACCATCTAGCCACCTCTGGAGGCGGGCGCCATAAGAACCACTGGGAGAAACCCAACTGTGACACGCTGGGCTGGCTTCTTGCCCACAGCCTGAGGAGGCAGCGTGGGCAGGGAAGCAACATCCTGGAGCACACCGCAGCTCCGTGCAGCAGCCAGCCCTTGGGACCAGCCGTGGTGGAGGTAGGCTCAGCATGGGGAAGGGGGGCACAGGTGTTTCTGCAGCTCCTGCTGGGATGGTCCTTGCTCCTGGGGGATGCTGAGCAGCCCTTTCCTAGTAGAGAAGTCACTTGGCCAAGTGCTGTGGTAAAAACCACGGCTGGCTTCCTGAGCAGCATCCCTCAGCATCTCCTCCAGCCAGATGGAGAGGTGGTAGGTGGTGATTTGCAGCCTGCTGCCAGGCACAAGCAATTTCTCTGTCCCCTCTGGGTTACTTCTGGTTCTTTGGAAAGCAAGGAGTTACCTGTGTCCGGGGCTCAGCGAGGAGCAGCTCAATGGGGTGCAGCTCGGGTTTGTGCGGTGATTCACCAAGCACCTCAAGCACAACACCCATGAGCAGTTGCCAGGCTGTTTAGTAAAGAGCTGAAGCAGGGAGGGTGGAAGCACAGGCAAGAGGCTGGGGGTCAAGAACAGGCAGAGGAGGGGAGTGAGGGGCCTGGTGATGTGTCTTTTTCTCACTGTCACATCCTGGGGACAAACCAAGCGTTACAGAGGATGCCCTGGTGACTCCAAACCTGCTTTGCTCTGGGATAGATCCTGGGGAGATGGAGTGCTCTGGTGGGAGATGCCTGAGTGTGTACTCAGGTGCAGGTCTGCAGTGTGCACAGGCACTGGAGATGTGCACACAACTGGGCCCAGGGCAAGTGGGCAGGACACGGCTCTGTGGAGAAGGCTGGGTGGGGTGGAAGTGTGGAGGTGATTTTTCTCCCTGACGTCCCTCTAGGGGATTTCCAGCCATCCCAGGCAGCAGGATGACGCTGTGGAACGGCTCCTTCCCCTTCTACCCCAGCACCAATGCGTGTTTCCCCTTCGATACCATCCAGGCCATCATTATCTCCATCTTCCTCTCTGTATTGGCCACTTCCATCATCATCCTGCCAGGGATCCGGGGCAGGAGGGTAAGTGGCGAGGCTGGGGGAGCTCAGGCCTCTGGTCCCTGTCCTGTGCATCCCACATGCCTCCTCCTTCCCAGCCTTGAAAACAGACTTGGGGATCAAATATTCCCACAGGGTCATGGCCAGGGTTCTGGGAACTCCAGCAAGCTATGGGGATGAGCTCCATCCCAAAGAAGCATGTAGCACCATGCTGACAACACCAAACTCCATCATCCCAAATTTATGAGGTGCCTAGATCTGAGGTTGGTTGGGTTTCACTGTGAGCAAGGCCAGGTGATCTCACAGGAGTGGAAAAACAGGGTGAGGCTCAAAAACCTTGCTCTGCCTTTCCCAAAACACCAATGAAAGAGGGAGGTGTGCACCATGCATGCCCCAGCACTGCTCCCAGGGCAGTGGCCAACCAACCCTGCCACGAGCTCACTGATTTCACACTGTGTGCTTGTCACATGCTAGGCTTTGCAGTGGGGCTGGCCAAGAGGCCTCCCCCCACCAGGGGGCACAGTGAGAACCCCCAGCTGCTGCTTCTGTCTCCAGCTGTGGCCAGCTGCCAACACATCCAAACACGTGAGGTTTGGGTAAGTGTGGAAATTCCAACCTGGAAGTGTAAAAGGGAGTGTCTTCATCCTCCTTCCCAGAAAGGAGGGGGCACAGCTTTTCCAAATGGGCTGTTTTGACCTTCTTTCTGTGCCAGGATTTCCCTGCTACCCCCACTCCCCATGACAGAGATGCCCCAGCCATGTGTTCCCCATATGCCACCTGCCTGAAGAACCTGTAGGCTGACTCCCAAGGGGAGGGACAGGCCTGTTTCTCACTGGCTGGCATTTCTAAATTACATGCTTGGTGCTGAGGTTCCCATGACAAAACCTGACTGGGACTTGTCCCCCTCCCTTCTGTCCACTCACAGAGACTCTTCTGGATCCTGCGGGTGGTGATGGGCCTCTTCATGGGAGCCGTGGTCCTCAGTGAGTACTGGGGTGCTGGGGGGGAAGCCCAAAGATGCCCAAGACACGGGGGATGGAGGACCAAGGTGAGGGAGAGTGAGCAGAGGAACCAAGTGCCAAGTCCAGCCTGCAGGATGAGTTTATGGGGAAGACCCACCCCCATCTATATGTGGACCTGGCTCCAGCAAGTGGTGGAAGATGCAAGCACCCATCTGTCTCCTCTCCAAAGGTCATATGCTGAGACCAACTCCAGTAGTCACCAAAAGCCCACTGCCAACTACCAGGGGACCCAGACAAATTGGCAGGTGTTTAGATGAGGACCAGTGCCTGGACAGTACCTATACACCAGTCCCGTTGCTTCTAGGTCTTGGGACTGTGCTGGATTTGGGGAGGAAAACCAGCCCAAGTGGGGATCTCAGAGTCACGGGTGGGCGCTGATACTGGGGAAGGACATAGAAGGCTTCTGCTCCTTGAGGTTCACAACACAGGCCTTGCCCTTGAGATGGGGTAGATGATGCTCAAACCACAGTGACCATCACGGCAGGTGCCTCCAGCACTAGATGTCTCACTGCCAGGCTATGACTAATCTTTGAAGTTTTCACAGCCATACAGTTCACCAAGGACTGGGAGACCGGCTGGGTGAGAGCAAACACCTCCTACAAGTCCTTCAGCCATGCCCTGGTTCATGTGGACATTGGGCTGCACATTGGCCTGTCAGGGTTGAACATCACACTGGTGGGTGAGTGCATATCACAACAGGAGGGGATTTAGTGCAAGTTTGGCAGCTGTACACCCTGGTACTGGGGCTGTGGGCCCTCAAGCCCCCTCACCAGGAATTCCTGGAGCTGCCTCCAAGGCTGAGAAAGCCCCTTAGTCTTCATCATTTGGCAGGAGACCCAGTGAATCAGGTCAACGAGACCATCAACTACAACGAGCACTTTGCCTGGAGTTTTGATGCAGACTATGACCACAGCTACAGTGAAGGGCTGGAGAAGGGGCTGCCCAGCCCCATCCTCTACGTGGTGGAGAAGTTCACCACGCAAAGCCCCTGCAGTGTACATAGGCAGTACCGCATCTCCGGCCACTACGTGTCCCTCACACTGTGGTAAGTTACAGCAAGGTCAGCCCTGTTCTGCTCAACGGGGAGATGGAAAAAAACAGGTAGAGCCGAGGCAGCTTTATGGACCCACCCTATTCCCTGCAAGGACAAGCCAAAGCCTTGACTGGTCCCTGGTGGAGCCAGGGATGCTCACGCTTCCTGGCCTGCCTGTGTCCTCAGCATCATCTTCTGTGTCTTCTATCCTGATGTGCAAAATTGCAGTTGAAGAAAAATCATTCCTCATTTAAAGGAAACCAGATGCAATTGTGTGGGACTTAGGGTGTAAGGTCCTCTCTTAAGCAAGATGCAAAGCCTCAAAGACCACCTGTGCTGAGTTCCACTTGCATGATGAACAGGGCATGAGACCTGCTGGTGGTGAGAGGAGGGGACAGTCAAGAGGGTGCTCGAGGCTGTTTTGTGGTGTAAAGCTGAGTCCCCTTCTGGGTTGTGTGATCAGGGAGTCTCAGAGCATCCCCACATGTCTCAGAGGTCATGGAAAAGGCACTACAGAGAAGAGTGAGTCTTGTGGTACCCCCTATGGACATAGGCTCCATGTTCCTGCTCAGCTCTTCTTTTTTATTTTCAGGAGAAATAACTAACCCTGCCCAAACCTTCCTCCTGTTGAGAAGGAGTATTTCAAGACAGGGATGTTGATGTGAACTTCTTTTCCGTTATTATTCTTGGAATCAGAACAATTTCTTGGGCTCACCTCCCCAGCAAGCTAAACCCAAGCCCCACTCACAGGGCAGGGCTGGCAGCTGGATTTGCTCCAGGTGCTGAATCAGACATGGGCATGGCTCATGGGGCTCTCCAAACAAAGGTCTCCCTTGTTGCCATTCTCCCTTTCAACAGGTAGGAACCGCCTGGGGGAGACCAGCTGTGGAGGACCACAAGAGTCAGAGTTCATTTGGAGCGACCTCCAGAGGCCTCTTCTCCAGTCTCCTGTCCAGTGCAGGGCTGATGGCAAAGCCATATCAAGGTGCTCAGGGCTTTGTGACATTCAACACTGAATGTCCCCAGGCACAGAGATCCCTCCCCACCACTGTGGGATCTGGACCACAGCTCCACCATTCAGGCAGTTACAGAATCATTTGGGTTAGAAGGGAGTTCTTTAAATACGCCTGTCCAGCCCACCTGCTTGAGTAGCTTACCCAGGACTGTATCCCTCCACTGGGATGTGGAGAGGAGAACCTGAGAACAGTTTCCAAGCATGACGCTTTCTGCTTGTTTGTTTGTTTGTTTGTTTGTTTTTGTTTTTGGTATGGATGCAGGATGGCCTTTTGCAAGTGGTTCATTTCCATCCTGTTGTTCTCCATGCCCATCCTGCTCTATGGTGGTTACATGCTCCTGCTCACTGCTGCGCTGATGCTCTTCTCACTGCTCTTCATCTTCATGGCAAGGAACACTCCAAAGTGTCCTATCCAGTTTGGCCCAGCTTCCCTGAAAACAGACTATGGTGGATCCTTCTGGCTGACACTAGTGACTGGTGAGTGCTCAGCTTGCTCCTGGGGCTTTTGTTCTCAGTCCCTGCAGTGATGATGCTCAGTGATGCCCCAACAACACCTGATCCCTTCTATGTCCATGGCTGGTCACAGAAAATGTGTTTGGTTTGTTTTTTTCATTTTTAAACGGCATACAAGAATTTAGGAAAGCATCATCAAAACTGAGGACGCCTGAGCAGCCAGGAGATCTCAATGGTCAAAGTTGTCTGTGTGGAGGTGTGCACAGAGTGCCATGAAAGTCACGGACTGCGGTGTCAGGGAAAAACCTGGCCTTGGATGGACCCTCAGAGGTGTCTTGCCCAGCCATTGCCCAGAGCAGAGCTAACGTTAGAGCCACATCAGCCTTGTTTAGCCTGGTGGAGGATGTCCCCATGGCTAAAGATCCTCTCAGGACCTGCCCCACAGCCCTCCCACTCCCTGGCAGCAATTATTTCCTTTTATCAAATGAGGATTTCCCACGTTACAACTGTGTACCTCCAAGAAGAGACTGGCTCCTTCTCAGTAGCAGAAGTTGGCGGTTAGGTCCCCCTGTAGACTCCTCTTTTTCAGGCTAAACAACCCCAGCCCCTCCAGCCTTTCCCCATACATGGGGGGTTCCAGCTCCAACTCTCTTGGCCATCTACTCCGATTCATTGACTTCTGGGGACCCCAAGTCAATGACAGACTGCAAGTGTGGAGAAGGAAATAACACCTTTCTTTGACCTGCCGGGTGATGCCACGTGCCGTTGGCCTCCAGCACCAGGTCCACGTCTGGGTGGGGGTGGGACCAGTGGACAGGAGGTGTTAATGTGTCTCCCCACACCATGTGTTGCAGGGCTGGTGTGCCTGCTGCTGGGGTTGGGCATCATCATCCTGAACTCTGTGCAGTCGGAGAAGCTGAAGCTTGTCTTTAACCTGGATGAGGCAAGGGGAGAAGAAGAGGAGGGGTGGGACAAGTCCTACCTGCCAGCCAAGCCCAGCTCCTCTGCCCAGGATGCGCTGATGGTTCCCCTGGGTGAGCTTTGTGAGGTGACAGCCACCCAGCTGTAAGGCATTGGGGGGAGGCAGGGCAAAGCCCAAGGACATCCCTCCTGAATTCACATTCTGATCCAACCCCACCATGACCCCAGGTGGGAAGAGACACAACAAAAGCCAGAGTGATGACAATATCCAAGTCTGTAAAGGTGTCTCAGATACAACAATTTGCCCTCTTCTTTTTTTTTATTTTCCCCCCCCCCCCCCCCCCCCCGTAGTTTTACTAGTTTTACCTACCAGTAGCTGAAAGAGCTTTTGGAGTGAGGAGAATCCATGCCCCATCCCTGGCTGTCCAGTTACAGGCACTGGACTACTGCCCTTCCCTGTCGTCCATCCTCAACAAACCCTAAGGAGTCCTCTCTAAGATGTAGAGACTAAACCAGAACAAACTGGAGAGAAACCAGGTAGCTGTATACACAAAGATATGAACTTAAGGAGAATTAGAGCCTCTGCAACAGCACTTCCACGCTGAAGGCCCCCAAGAAGTCCCCTCTGCCCAGGGATGGTCTTCTTCCCATCAGCAGCCAGGAAGAATTAGTGGAGCTTACTAGAGTGCCCTGTATCCAGCACGTTCTCTTGATCTGGGGTGAAGAGCAAGTTGGTAAAGAGGTCCACAATTTAGTAGGATGTTTGAGGTACCAGCCCATGGAGGCCTCCTGGATTTCAGACCCATCCTGCCATCCCACGGCTCAAGTTTTAAGTGCGTCTGAGACGCACTGGGCTGTAGGTTGGACGTCTGTGGGGTCTGCACAGGTGACAGCAGCCAGAATGTCATGGAAGGTGATGTCACAGATCTCCCTTGTTTCTCCTGCTGTGAACAGCCTGGGAAAAAAAGATGTGGGGCCAAGTGGTGGCCCCTGTGGCTCAGTCAGCCCCTGTTCTCCTGATCCCTGCTGTGCATGAGACACAATATGTGAAGAGGTCTCTGCATTCCCCACCACGTCACTGCCATTGCTCAGTTTGCCTCATGCAAGGTCTGCCGCGGAAACCCAGCTGTCCTGTGTGTGCTAGGAAGTGGGCAAGAGATCTGCTGTCTCTGTGCTTCAAGCAGACCGAATGTTCATGTTCATTTATTTGGGATCCTGCCCCTGTATGTCTGATGCAACAGGCCAAAGCTTTTCTTCTTATCAATCCTTATAAATATCTGAAGGGTGGGGGGCAAGAGGATGGGGCCAGACTCGTGTCAGTGGTGCCCAGTGACAGGACAAGAGACAACAGGAACAAAATGGGACCCAGGAGGTTCCACCTGACCAGGAGAAGAAAATTCTCTGCTGCGAGGACTTGGAGCAGGCTGCCCAGAGAGGTTGTGGAGTCTCCTTCTCTGGAGAGATTCCAAACCCACCTGGACACCATCCTGGACACCCGGCTGGGGGTGACCTGCTGGAGCAGGGGGGTTGGATGAGATGATCTCCAGAGGTCACTTCCAACCCCCACCATTCTGTGATTCGGATGAGGATGCTATTAGGGGGCGATCATGCCTAAAAGCAGGAGATGAGGCCGGAGAGTGTCAGATGTGGTGGCAGAAAGGATAGGGAACCCCCAACCCTACTGTGCTATCAGGGCACGGGATCTGTCCATCTAACTTGTGGTGGGTTGTAGCTTCTTCCCAGCTGCCTCTGGACCTAACATGTCCAGATGCAAGAAGGACTCAAGAAAGGACCCTCCGTTTCCCAAGGGTGTTTTGTTGGTTTAATATTACGGCTTCTGTCCTGCTGCTCAGCTAGTTAAAGTTCTTTTGAGGCTCTCCTACATCCCTACAGCAAGCTGTTCCTCACAACCAGGATGTCTCACCTTGACACAGGTGAGTGAGCCTCATCCTTCCTTGGGGGCACCTCTGCCAGGGCAGATGTGGCCCACAGCCCCCTCTTAAGAAACCAGAATGCCCCAAATGCCCAAAATGTTTCAAAGGAGCAGGTTTTTAATAAAGCTTTACTGAAAATAATCATTCTTGTGCACAACAAATTACATTAGTGCCACACAAATAAGTCATGGTTGTTGTTTTAGCTGGAGTAGAGTTAATTTTCTTCCTCATAGCTGGCCCAGGACTGTGTTTGGGACTTAGTGTGAGAATAATGTTGATGACACCCTGAAGTTTTAGTAGTTGCTAAGTAGTGTTTATATTAATCAGGGACTTTTCAGCTTCATGTGCCCTGCCAGTGCGGAGGGTGGAGGGGCACAAGAAGCTGGGAGGAGACACAGCCAGGACAACTAACCCCAAATAGCTAAAGGAATAGTCCATACCATATGATATCATGCCCAGTATATAAACTGGGGGGCAGGGCTGGGCAAAGGCCACTGCTCAGGAGCTGAGTTGGGCATCACAGAATCATAGAATTGTTTAGGTTGGAAGAGCCTTTCAGATCATCAAGTCCAATCATGAACCCAGCACCACGAGGTCCCTACTAAACCATGTCCCTCAGCACCACATCTCCACAGCTTGTAAACCCCTC